CACACACGCCCTCCCCCCCCCCCCCCCCCCCCCCCCATCCCATAGGCAGGCCTCTCACAAGGAAGGAAGGCAATAGCACATGGCTAGAAATATGCAAACGTTGACTTCCAGAAAAGTTAGCATGTATGCGGCAGCTGCGGCGGCACCAGGGTGGGCGCCATCCAGTGAGGCCGCCACCCATGCGTTATGACGTTCATGGTGTGACATCATTACACATGTGCGGGGATGTTCTTCATCGCCAACACCCATCTTGGTGATGGATGGCAGCAAAGAGAGGAGGTATTGACTAGGCGGGGTCAGGACCCTCCCTCTCGTGCCACTGTTGGGCTCTCAGGCCATGACCCAGTGCCCGACTTTTGAGAGGGGGTGACACCAAAATGACTGTCAGTCATTGTTCTTCCATCTGTCCTTGTTCATGCGCTTCCGGTTATAGGGTGACAATGCTCTGTCTTTGTTTAGGCTCTTCCTGTTATAGGGTACAACACTCTGTCCTTGTTCAGGCACTTCCTGTTATAGGGTTACAACACTCTGTCCTTGTTCAGGCGCTTCCTGTTATAGGGTGGCAATGCTCTGTCCTTGTCCAGGCGCTTCCTGTTATAGGGTGGCAATGCTCTGTCCTTGTCCAGGCGCTTCCTGTTATATTACAACACTCTGTCCTTGTTCAGGCGCTTCCTGTTATAGGGTTACACCACTCTATCCTTGTTCAGGCACTTCCTGTTATAGGGTTACAACACTCTATCCTTGTTCAGGCACTTCCTGTTATAGGGCGGCAATGCTCTGTCCTTGTTCAGTCGCTTCCTGTTATAGGGTGGCAATGCTCTGTCCTTGTCCAGGCGCTTCCTGTTATAGGGTGACAACACTCTATCCTTGTTCAGACACTCCCGGTTATAGGGTGACAACATTCTGTCTCCCAATTGTGCCCCTATGTTATCACCCTTTCACATGGGCTTGCAATGGAAACTACAAGTGGCTGTTTGAGCACACATTACACAGACATGACATGCACGCATTTATATAGTTGAAGTATTTTTGATGACACGTTTCTGCTTATAGGATTGCTGTAATGGGGAGATATAATGTGTCCGGACCGATCATCCTTCCAGTATAGAAGGAGACAAAAATAAAACTTGCTGATCTACATACGTGATGACCATCACGCGTGTTCCGCCTCATTGTACATGCCTACAACTATGAAATATTTCAATTGACCGAGAAAACAATTCCACGCATCAGACGTAACTCTTCTTCTCGGATGTTAGTTCAGAATTCGTTCCATATGATTGCGTCACTCACATGTTAACCCGTCAGATGCTGCACCTCCGACAGCAACACCAACCGATTCACCCGCTGAACAAAAACATACAACCGGCGAGGGCGCCCAATCAGCTGCTGAAGAGCTCCATGTCTTCTCACACACTGTTTCTGCTTCCAACACATCAACTTCAGGGACAAAATGTTCACTTCCTGCCGAATATACACCCCCCCCCCACTTCCAGGTGTCATTGTATTATATCCCCCCACTTCCAGGTGTCATTGTATTATATCCCCCCACTTCCAGGTGTCATTGTAATATATCCCCTCCACTTCCAGATGCCATTGTAATATATCCCACCCACTTCCAGGTACCATTGTAATATATCCCACCCACTTCCAGTTGTCATTGTATTATATCCCCCCACTTCCAGGTGTCATTGTAATATATCCCCTCCACTTCCAGATGCCATTGTAATATATCCCACCCACTTCCAGGTACCATTGTAATATATCCCACCCACTTCCAGTTGTCATTGTATTATATCCCCCCACTTCCAGGTGTCATTGTAATATATCCCCTCCACTTCCAGATGCCATTGTAATATATCCCACCCACTTCCAGGTGCCATTGTAATATATCCCACCCACTTCCAGTTGTCATTGTATTATATCCCCCCACTTCCAGGTGTCATTGTAATATATCCCCTCCACTTCCAGATGCCATTGTAATATATCCCACCCACTTCCAGGTACCATTGTAATATATCCCACCCACTTCCAGTTGTCATTGTATTATATCCCCCCACTTCCAGGTGTCATTGTAATATATCCCCTCCACTTCCAGATGCCATTGTAATATATCCCACCCACTTCCAGGT